TAATAACTTATTTCTTTCATTCTGTATAATCTGCCTATTATGAAAGTTGAAGATTTTCAACGATATCATTGGCAAACCGGCATCGCCGCGCATGGCCGCCTATTCATCGAACATGATTGGCAGTACGTCACAGGATTTGTTACCACGCGGTTGCCATGGCTTTTACGCCTTTCCTATTCGCTTGCTTTATCCCCAACTTCACGGTCTCTTCTGAAAAGAGTAGGAATATTGAATACTATTGAAATATCCAGTGGCGGTGTCATTTTTTTGATCATTATTACTTTATTTCATTATTTTATACCGGTTATCCTAAACTTTATTCCTATATTTTTAGTATATTTGATAGTTAAGTTGTGTTTTATTGTTTTGTTATCTTGTTATAATGTTTTTCGTTCGTAGTTTTTAATTATTAATATCAAGTTTGATCGTATATTTGTGTTTTAAAACGAATAAATTTGTTAAGGGTAAGACGCTACATAGTCAGACAAGAGAAATAATAGCTAATTTATATAGGTAAGTTAATAATAACGTGGATGAAATCTCATTTGGTGTATTTCCTTGTGTTCATAATAGGGTTTGCGATGAAGAAGCTACAGAGAGTTCGCTTGAGTTGCCGCTTAAACGTAAACTTGAGCGGATATTTCTTTATACCGGAGTTAGCGTATCGGCTATAAAAAAATTCACACAGAAGATAAAAAAAAGGCTGAAAACTAACCCCGATAAAATGATATCCTCTCTGGAAAGAAACGACCACGTGAGACTGCTGTCGAAAAGCTCAACGACTTTTTCGAAGTGGTCAGGAATTTGATAAATAGATTTTATCTCGAATTCAAACTCGTCCCCACAATTAGAAAGCTTTTGCAAAAATTGCAGGAAGAATCGAATTTTCCTTTTGCAGGGAAACGCTTAGGGGGTTATTAAAATCAAATGAATTTTTTTGGCGTAAATGTTAAAATAACAGATAAATATTAATGGAGCGGCCCATTATATTGCAGAGAGAGATATAAATATATATACGCGAAATTCGAAAATATAGCCAAGTATTATCTATTTGGATGTAACATATGGGTAGACAATGACCTAACCTTTAAAAACTGCTGCGGAGCGATACCATATCTGGTGTAATAGGCAATATTGGATCTACTGGTGAGTAAAATTATGTTTTGTTTGCGCTTCCAAAGTTAACTATTTTCAAGATTTTTTTTTTGCTGGAAATAGTTATATCTAAAATTATGTATTATAGAAAAAAATATAGTTAGTACCGATATAAATAAATATACCTCAAGACTCAGTCTTGATCATCTGGTGATGGCAGACATGGTTAGCGAAACGTGCGTCCAGTGTAAAATTAAAAGTGTTTTGGTGTATTGTACTGATTTAGTGTTTTATTTTGCTGTGTAACACCAAAGGTTCCAATCCCCAGCTGTAATTATTTCTTCTATTATATTAACAACACAATAATAAAATGATTCAAAATATTTAAGGGAGCTTTAATAAAAGCTTTTAGTGTTTATCTGCTAACTCAACAGTAACGATTCAAACAGCATAAAGTTTTTTGAAAAAAATTATATCTGAGTATTATATTTATGATACACATTATTTTCATATAACACCGTACGCCCATGCCTATTTTATGAATGAAATTGGGCGTGTTTTGTTTACAACTGCGTTCCCCTGCCGATACCCCGTAGCTACAGATCCGTTGGTCACACTTTAGGTGGAACGGCGATGAAGATCAATATGGCCGACTTAAATTCCTGTTCATTACTGCCAAATTCTAATTTTATTTAAAACTTGTAAAGATATATAACAGGGTAGCCTCAATAATTTTTTGGTTTTGTTTTACGTTGTCAATAAATGTCATTAGTTAAAAAATACAGGGTGGTTCGAACTGTATTCGTGGTTCGAAACTTTAGCAGTCTATTCTGTAGATAAAAGTAATTATTTTTCAGGGCAGGACCGTCGAGCGCTTGAACTTTGCAATTTTTTTGAGGGGTACGGTTTGTTTAAAATGATAAATTTTGCTACTCGAGGACTTGCATGCCTCGATAACATTTTTACAAATATTGATCACGCTGATATTGGCACTGAACCTTTTGATCTTGGTCATCTGTCTGATCATACTGGTATTATTTTTAGCTATAATTGTCTTAGTGCTCATACAATACATCAAACTAGATTTAATTATAGGCCCGTTACAGATGAGGGACTGTTTCTCTTGTACAGGGTGTTTCAAAACAAATGCGAAAAACTTTAGGGGGTGATTCCTTGTTCAAATTTCCTTGTTCACAGACTTCATACATTATACTCTATAGCTAAATACCATTCTCACTTGGTTACCAAAGAGGACTTTTTAAAGTATAAAAGGGAGTATCGGGTTAAGATATGTGATGCTAAAGCAAGGGCTCATGATGATTACATAAAAAACTCTAGTAATCCCCAGGTGGCAGTGTGGGACATAATAAATAGTAAAAAACCTACACCCTACTGTTACGTGTCTGACACTCTAAATGCACAAACATTTAATTCATTTTTCATCAATACAGCTAATGAGATTATATCCGGGCTACCAACAACAAACAAAACATTTAATGAGTTTTTCTCTGACCTACTTGATACTGAGAAACTTTGTTTCATGCCAACAACATATAACCAGGTGAGACAGAAATTCTTAAATCTAAAAAATAGTAAAAGTAAGGACTGTTACAATCTCGATACCAAAATCGTAAAAACACTGAAAAACCTTTTAATAATACCCTTAACAAAACTAATAAACTGTTGTATTGAGGCTGGAACTTTTCCTTCGGTTCTAAAGGATGCAAGGGTAGTCCCAATATTTAAAAACAAGGGTTCGCCAAATTATTTGACGAATTATCGCTCCATTTCTCTGCTATCCGTCTTTTCCAAGATCTTTGAATCTACAATAAAAGATCAAATTGTAGATTTCTTTGAAAGACATAACCTATTTTTTCAGGACCAATTTGGCTTCCGGAACAAAAAATCGACTACACTCGCGATAAACAGTCTAACAGACCACATAACCCAGGCCATGGAGGAGGGCCATGACACGTATGCCCTTCTATGACCTGACAAAGGCTTTTGATTGCGTATCGCATGACATCTTGCTTCAAAAGCTGCATTACTACAATTTTAATCAGAAGAGCACTTTGCTGATTGGATCATATCTCTCGGAACGCTCTCAGTTTGTCTCTTACAACCACGATAAATCACAAAGACTGCAATTAAAGCAAGGGGTACCTCAGGGGTCGGTTCTGGGGCCCTTACTGTTCCTCATATATGTTAATGATATGTTGAGATTTCAAGATATATCAACGCTAATACTATTTGCCGATGCTTGGAGGGAATAATTAGTGCCACTCAAACAAATTTAGAGAACTGGTTTCTGGCAAATCGGTTGAGCCTGAATAGAGCTAAAACCCAGAATCTGAATTTTACACTTAGGCAGAGCACTATTGACGTGCCCTCTAATGCTCATGTGAAATTTTTGGGAGTTACACTTGACCCTAAACTTACCTGGGAAGAGCATGTAACACAGCTATGTGGTAAATTATCGCTAATAACGTATCTAATGATAACGTATCTAAGTGTTGTCGCGATATGTGTCTCTTTCAACTCTATTATCGGCCTATCACGGTTACTTCTCTTCGCTTATGTCATATGCTATTCTTAACTGGGGACACTGTGCCCATTCTAGTAAGGTTTTTAGACTTCAACGTAGGTGTATGCGTATTATTGCGGGACTTGGGTATCGTGATTGCTGCCGTTGGTGTTTTGGGGAACTCAGGGTCTTGACCTTTCTCTCCTTATACATATTAAGATGCCTTGAATATGTCAAGTCCAACCTATCACTTTTTTCCACTCATGGTGATATACATGACCACCTAACTCGCAATCGCGATAATATACTCCCTGATTTTCACAGACTTTCAAGGACCAGGAGAGGAACTGACTACCATGGTATAAAATTTCTGAATGTACTTCCATTACACATTAGAGAAGCTGATGCAAAACAATTTTGTACAAAAATTAAGGGCTATTTATTACAAAAGTCCTTTTATTCAATTGAGGAATACCTTAATAATAGCTTTGATGACGTATTATGACTGTGCGACACTTACCTGTTTTGTTGACATGTTTATATTATATTTTATCTTTATATTACTTTATACAAATTTTGTTACTTAGCTTTAGTTTGATAAGAATGTTTGTGTAACTGTATGATGTATTAGTAAATTTATTCTGGATCATTTTGAGCTTAATGTTTTCTATTAGTTGTCAAATTTTCATATGTTGTCATTTTTTCATTTATCTGTTGGTTGTCAATCTATATATTTTTGTTGCAATGAGCATGGGTGATTAAACCTGTATTTATTTTAATTTCTTGACGTGTAAGAGCATTATTTGTATTATTATCAATAAATATCTATCTATCTATCTATCTAGCTATCTAAGTAAAAAAGTTCGTAATGTATGTCCTAAAATGATTCGTTTTGGAGATACAGGGTGTAGAAGTTTCATTTTTATTTCGATTTTTTCTGAATAATTTCTGAACGTCAATATTTGGATGAAAATTGGTGTTTGGGCGTTTTTTGATATTAGAAATTTGGATTTCGACTCCCACTCCCGGTCATTATTTCGACTCCCACATGTATGGGGCGCCACCTACATGTGTTTAACTTCTAAGGTTTAACTGATTTGAAGAGTAATAACTTTTTGTCCGTACCTGTATAAAATTACTGAGTAAAAAATATATGTTTCTTGTGGTAAAAATCGCTATGAGCAACCGTTTTTTTCCAAACCTCAAAATTTCCCGAATACAATTCGGGCCACCCTCTATATCGGGTGACAATTAGGGATGCAAACGATACATCGATGTTCGAATGTTTTAAACGATCAATATATTTATCGATGCATGTTCTTCACCTATGTTTTCTAATGTTCCAGATAATATAATCGTAATCGAGGTATGTCTTTTTTAGGATGGGTGATGCAGCTTTCTTTCTACTTGTTTATAAACAGAAATTGGGAACGAGATCAGAATATAATGAAGAGCTACGTTGACTACGTCGCTATTCATAATTACAAACATATTATGATCATATTTCCGGAAGGTACAGATTTGACAGCAAAAACTAAAGAAAGCAGCGATAGATACGCCGAAAAAAATGGACTACCGGTAAGAATTCTTATTTTGATTAAGTCAAATAACATAAGTAGAAATTTAAGAATGAAAATATGTAATACCACTTTTTGCTCTTCTCTCTTAGTTCAGTACATCTTATTGTATTGAACACATTTACTGTACAGGGTCTCATTTTCGTGTGTTTTGCAGGGTTTTTCGCTTATGAGTAGAGGTACATAAATGCGGTTTCATTACGCTACTTTTTTACAAATCTAAAGATGCTACACCCAGATTTGTCCTAGTCCTCTTAGTTCCTTAAATACAGAGCGGATTTGAAATTGTTGCATTTTTCTACTGTCCTCGTATCTTCGGTATTTTATATCTTATCGAAAAGGTCAAACTGAGTAATAAAAAAAAATAATTAAAAGTAATAATTTTTATCATCTATGATTTTTCTCTTCGAATTTACCGTTGAAAAAGAGTTTTTTTATACCATTGAAAATGTCTAAAGAGGTTTTAATGAAGCAGTTACGTGAAACATCCTGTATATCAAATAACGTTTGGGATATAAAAACATTACTTTGCTTTTTTATTTCAAGTTATTGAATGAACATTCGAATTTTGTCTTGTTTTCTGCAAAAAATGAGATATCTTTCTCCACTTGAAAAGTTGAATTTGCAGAAATATTTTCAACGCGGTTTTCAACGCCCTCTTTCATTGTTGATAAAATAATTAGATAATTATAAAACGTAGGTATAAACGTAAATAAACTTTATATTCTAATAAAGTTACGATGAGTTTTTTACGACTATTAAGCTATCTTGTTCACTTCGCACTAAAGGAGGTTCTAAAAAGAACAATGTCGCGGACTGCAAGGTCTGCTAGTAAAAAAATTTAAGCTTAAAGTATCACAACACAGTTCATTTAAACCAAAAACTAGTAATACAAAACTAAAATATCAAAGCGAACGACAATGTCAGGAAATAAATAAATAAATGTGCCAACTTGACATTTTTTACAGCAGAGCTACCACTTGAATCCCCAGCGAAAAATTTAAATTCCCGTTAGTCAGCTCGGTGCCGAATAATGTTCATAGTTGGCACCAATGAATTTAAAAATAGTTTTCTCGATTACGTAACTAAAAGTTTAATTGGTATTGAACATACATTTTTTATAAACATTTTTTAGAGGTTACACAATGATTATGCCGATTATGCGTGCCAATACTTACTTTTATCTACCTTTATTTGATGGGTACCAATTCCGCCATTGAGTAGTTGTATACAGGGTGTTGCGTTGAAGTTATTAGCTGTTATTATTACATATTGATCTCCCCTTTTATTAACGCATAAAAATTATTTTGAATACTCACCTCGGTGGAGCTTATTCTCCTTTACCTCTATATCTCTTGTGTATTAGCATAGCCTCTCATATTTAGCATAGATATATTGGCGCTTTTGATTTTGTCTCTCTGTCTGTTAACCGGTCATTTATATTATTCTCTGTCTTACACGTTAAATTCCAGACCACACTTCTAAAATGACCAAATCGGTATGTACTAATTGTCTGTATTTATTTCAGAAATATAAACACGTCCTCCATCCGCGTACAACAGGCTTTATGTATCTCATCGAAGAAATGCAAAAGAACAAATGCGTCGATGCTATTTATGATGTTTCCCTTTTGTATCCAGATGCTTGTCCCCAAAACGAGAAAGAACTATTTTTTACTGGGAGGTTTCCTAAAACTGTCTTGGTTCATCTTGTCAGGTAACGATATTTGATAATATTAATTTCTTAGTAGAATATACCGCTGTAAGAAATAAACAACCGGGGTACATAACACAAGAAGAAAAACAACTCATTTGAGGAAAAAAATAGGAAATACAAAAATTATTTATCAAATAAAACAGAAAGCAAATAATTAAAAAGGACAAAAAAGAATTCTGGTAGCAGAAATGTAATCAGATAAATACGTATAAAGGAGGAGCTCGTACGACTGAAGTATGAAGAACAATAAAGATAGACATAAAGAAAGACAAACTATAGAGAAATGGAGAGAATACTACACAGAATTATCGAAAAGTATTCAAACAGAAAATCGAAAAGTATTCATGAACAACGCAAATAATGTACTCGTATATAGAGATATCACAGAACATGAGTACTCAACACCTATTACAACGGAAGAAATACATGAAGCGGTCAAAGAAATGAAAAATGGAAGAGTACCCGGACACTGAGATATTGTAATTGAAATTAATTATTATATTAATTATATTTAATATTGTAATTGTTTACTACAGAGAAAGACACCGAGTGAGTGGAAAATTTGATATATTTCATCTCTGCATAAGAAAGGAAACAGAAATAATCCTAATAATTACAGCAGGTTGTGCGTCACGGCTACTTTCTCCAAACTCTGGGGAGAAATTATTCAAACCAGAATAAGAGCTGAAATTGGAAACTCTATATCCGAAGATCACATTGGTTTTACCCAGGTCGGTAATGTACTGACAATTTATTTGTCATACAACAAACATGCAGGAAAAAAGATTAGAAAAAATGAAGAAATACATATAACATCTGTGAATATAAAGAAATTATCAAAAAATTGTACACCAATAACATCAGTTATATAAAACAAGGAAATATACTCTCGGAACCCATATGTATAACGAAAGGTCTGAGACAAGGTTGTTGCGTATCCCCTCTTTTATTTACTATTTACCTGGAGATAGCTCTTAGGAGGTGGAAGAGATCATGTCAAGGACTGGGAGTTCCAAATGAGGAACATCTTCTGACACTTAATTTTGCAGACGATCAAGCAGAATTTGTTCAAGATTTCTTTGACATAGAGTTTATGCTCAGGAGACTATATAGTGAGTATCAGGAATGGGGTCTAGAAGTCAGTTTAGAAAAAAAAAACAGAATACTTGGTATTAAATTCCGACGCCATATTTGATATTCTAATTGACGACAAAAGGCGGAAATATAACAGGTAGACGCATTCAAATATGTAGGAACTAGAGTTGATAAAAGTGGAATCGGTGGGATCGAGATACGACAGAGAATTCAGAACGCACCGAGAGTGGTAGGGGCACTAAACTCAATCTGGTGGGACAAACATATTAATATAAAGAATAAAAAAACATATTGGTCAAACAATGGAAGAATCGGTCTTATGCTATGGGAGTGAGGTATGGACTCTAAGAGAAGAAGATAAACGGAGAGTATTGGCTGTAGAGATGGATTACTTACGTAGAAGCGCTAGAGTGTCCAGATTACAAAGAGTGAGAAACGAGGAAATAAGAAACAGAACATCAGCATAAGAAAAAGTAATACAACGAATCAGGAAAAGAGGTTTGAGATGGTTTGGTCATCTAATGAGGATGGAGGACACAAGATGGCAAAACGTGTATTCAAATGGTTACCCCCTGGAAAAAAAGGGGACGCCCGCGTCCGTCCTGAAACGATAATATCGAAGAAGATATCGTCTACGACTGAGATGGCTGGCGATTGAGACTGGGAAGGCAACTTTAGTTGTATAATATTATGTTGTATAAATAATACAAATATATATATATATATATATATATATATATATATTGTTACGTTTTTCGTCGATTCCGTGCGGATAGAAAGTCTAATTTATTTAAACACAATTTATTTTACACTAAGTAACAAAACAATAACGATAAAACTATTTAAAGAACTATTTACAATTTATTTACTATTTATTTAACTATTTATCTAAAAGGAATTTATTTTGAATTTAGCGCGGTAACTGTACGCGTTCTACCGATTGTTTTTCTCCCTCCTTTGCACGGGTCCCGGGTTATATACCCACAGCTAATCAGTTCTTGAATAGTCCATTAGATCATTAGGTGCATAGAGAAGATTTAGAATATTCTTGTATGCACTCCAGTGGAACTTGATTGTTCTCGAACGCTCGATGAGTCACTACGGTGTCTATTCTTTAATACGATATTAAGGTCATATGGAGGCAAGACATATTAGAACGGGTTAGGCCGAGTCCACACGGGTCCGCAACAATATATTAATTTCGTAGTTAGTTTTATAAGGACAAATAAAATTCTGTGTGTTTAAATTTAGATAGCAAAATAAAACACTAATTTAGCACAATACACCAAAATACTTTACTTTTGCACAAGACGTGCGTTTTGCTAACCATGTTAGCATCATCAGCAGATGAAAACTTAAACCCCCATATTATGAAAAAAAATTGATTTGAAAATCACAAACCAAAAACCTATTATAGAACTTTTGCGGAAGCCTGGTACTAATACTGAAAATATTATTTTAGATATTCGGTATTCGATTTGCCGACCACCAAAGAAGGTTTGAAGAACTTCCTGGAACAACGCTGGGCGGAAAAAGAGAAAACCATCCAAGAATACAGATCCACCGGCAGGTTCCTTCACGGGGACGTCCTCGACAGCGGTACCGCTCCTCTATCTTACCTCTTTGCCTTTTTTTTTTGGCTGGTAGTACCGACTTTCTCCTTTGGACTGTTATTCTTCTCCCGAACGTATCGCTACATCGCTCTTGTCCATACTGCGTTGCTCTTGGGGTTGAGATTCTTGCCATCGGGCTGGCAAAATTTTGATGTGATTGCTTTCAAGCTTAGAAGGGTAGTATTCAGATTTTTTTGGAATAAAAAGATTAAATAAGATAGGTATTGAGTTTACTGTATGTTTGAGGTTATGTCAATGGTAATCACAATGACTAAAGAACACAAGGACATGTAACGCTCATACACGGACTGCAGCAGAATTTGTGACGTTAGACGCCATTTTGTTGATGGCAACAAATGAGTCATTAGCTGGTTGTCAGCGATTTTTAATAGTTTGTGTGTAGTGAACTTTGCATAAACTTTATTTATTATAATGGTGATTAGTTGTTCAGCTTTCAAGTGTAAAAGCCGCAGCGATAAGAAAGAGCCAAGAGTTATGTTTCATTGGTAAATAAACAGGCTACTCCACCTTCTTAGCGTTTTCTTATTGAATTCGATAATTATTTTTCTGATATTATATATGTACTTGATGTGTGCTGTACGTCGATACTAGTTTTGTACTTTTTTTTTAAATTTTATTACGTTTTTTTTCGTAATTAATTAGTATGATACCACCGAATACACCATAGGCGTAGTCAAAACATTTATCAAAAAATATAAATATATCTTCAAACAACTAAGTTAAGAAAAATATGTGCTACGGCACTGTTTAGTGACATGGTAACAATTTGCTCTCGAGTTTTGAGGTCTGAATTAACAGAGTTGTTTTTAAAAAACGATTTTTATTGTTACAAACGTTCTCGACAAAGTACAGAGAGTGAAAAAAGTCTGCTTCGAACCGTGCAGTTCGCTTTTATATGTGACATAATGTAAAATAGGCATTCAGTATTTAATTACAATGAAATAACACTTATTTATACATATAACTCTCGGGTGTTATTTGTTCTTGGATTCTTTAGTCATTGGGTAATCATAATGAGATAGGGTCTGTTTTTTAACGCATCTTTGGGGGGAATGTGGTAGAAATTGAAACTAAAATAATTTCGCACTTCCATTGTCTTTATTTATTTATTTCGCTTACACAACATTTCGGTAAGAAGTATCACTGACTGTTATGAAGTGTGAACTAATCTAAATATTAAAACTACTAAGCTTATACAGGGTGCTACAAATTCGAGGTACGAACATTGGTATCTCGGAAACTGTAATAGATACGAAGATAGTTAAATTGGGACAAAGTTGCGCCTTGAGATGTTCACCAAGATGCCATCAAAAATGTTTTAAAAATTTCAAGGATTGCTGAGTTTTTTCGAAAAAAAAACGATTTTTTTGAAAATCAATGTTATTTTTTCCTGTCGTTACTTTTTAGAAGAAAACAAAAAAAAGTATAAGTGTGGCATATCGTTGTACTCAGGAGATCGAGTTCTTTCAAAACTTGTTATAAAAAATGCAGGTTCGTATTTAAAAAATATAAGTTGGCCTCTGTATCTCACAAATTGTCAGCTAATTTGAAAATCTAAAAATACTATCAGATAGCCCTAATAAAGTGGCTATGAGAATGTGCAATTAGTTTATTGATTTTCTAAAAAGCAATGACAGAAAAAAATAAAATTGATTTTCAAAAAAATCCGTTTTTACAGAAAACTCAGCAATCCATGAAATTTTTAAAACTTTTGATGGTATTTTGGTGAACATCCCAAAGCGCAACTTTGCCCCAATTTAACCATCTTCGTATCTATTACGGTTACGGAGCTACCAATGCTCGTACCTGGAATTTGTAGCACCCTGTATACTAGAGCCGAGGATTCACCCGTGAAGATGTTGGGTGCAGTCAAGCATGATGATGTCTACTTAGAATACCCGCATTGGTGCGTTTTATGAGTGGTTGCCATATTGTTGAAATTTCCATACCTGGATTGCTAAAGATTCTATTATTGCTAGATATGAATACGGCTTCTTTAAATTTGCGCTTTTTCCAATGGGGCTCTTTGTGGACAACTCGGGCTTCCAACCATTTTATGTTGTGGTGCTTGGACCACACATGGTCTGCAATGCGCGACTTTAATGTTTCACCTTTTTGCGTATGCTTTTTAAGTTCGTCAAGTCGTACATGTAGAGGACGTTTTATCTCGACTCACCGCACTCACAACGTACCTGGTAGGTGCACTCTTTCTCTTGTTTTGATGATTCCGGTTTTGTTTTTGTTAGTAGACTCCTTAGAGTAATCCCAGACTTAAAAACAGTTTTAATTTTATACTGCTTGGCTATTCGCCTGATCTTCTCCGATGTTCCTTTCATGTATGGAATCGCCAAGAGAGAGAGAGTATCCTCCTCAGGCTGGCGCACCAATGAGTCAGACTTGCAATTGGAGACAATCTTGTCGAGGGATTTTGCAGAGTAGCCATTCTGAAGCATATCGATTTTACTATTACTAAGTTGAGAATTCAGAGATACTTGGTCACTGCATATTATAGTGATTGCTCTATGACAGATTCTTTTAATTATACCTCTTTTGATTGCTACAGAATGGTCGACTGAGAATTTAAATATTGTCATGTGTTTTTGGGATTTCTGTATACCTACAGTAGTACTACATCGTTTCTACTGACAAGAACATCCAGAAATGGCAGACGGAAGTTTTGTTCTTTCTCAATCGTAAACCTGATTGGATATTGATATTGATTACTAGGTATATTAATAAAAGGGGTCTAAATTATGAAAATATGCTTTTTTGTACGAAATCTTGAAGAGATAGGTAAAAAATGGTATAATATAAAATTTGATAGACAATTAAACTGTGCATCTGATTCACAAAAAATATTCAGGGTGTCCTATCTAAATTAAACAAGATATTGCCGTTTAAAGCTAGTAATTGTTTAATATAAATTTTTAGACACTCTATATGAGGTAGTATTATTTTTATTATTGCAACACAAAACTTTAGTACAATATTTAGTTTTAAATAATTAAATACGCCTAGAGAAATGAGGCATTAAAATTGTTACTGCATTTTCATAAAATAAATATTTCAAAAATGAAGATTAAAGTGCGGTAAACCTTAATCAAATTTTCCTTTATTTCAATCTCCATTCCATATATTTCCATTTAAAAAAATTCAACTTGGATATTTTTTATTTATTTGGGATTCTTCTAACGATCCCCTCCTTTACAATTTCTAAAAATCCAATCATTTGGCTACAATATCCCGAATACCTACGAATAATCCTGTATAAGCATAGTAGTTTTAGTATTTAGATTAGTTCACTTCAAAGAATATACTGTTCACACTTGATAACTGTCACACTTGACACTTGATATCTGGTCGAAACATTGTGTAAGTTGTCATAAATAAAAGCAATGGAAGTGCCAAATTTATTTCTTTTAGTACCAATACCGAATCATTGTTACCACATTGAAAGATATCTTTGTAACCATATTTGTTTTTCGTCAAAAATTTGAGAAATTGTACACACCAAAACTCAGTTTAAGAAATTTATAGAAAAATCTTTCGCAAGTCCAGTGATAACTGTAATCATGATAAATCATCTCTCTGGTGATTTATTAAATCACTTAAATGAAATAAAGATCTTGTCCTAGCTTTAAAAGAAAATATCTATCTGTTGTACGTATGTATATTGTTATTAGGATGACATCGTTATGTGGCTAATAACTGTGAAAATATTTTAAATTGATTTAGATAGATACATAATTTTATATGTTTCAGATTAAATCACATACTTAGGTATGTGAAGCTTCCATTGGGATTCAAATATAAATATAATAAATACAAATATCGTATAAAATATATTTATAGTACTTAAATTTAGTGTTTTAGGCTGTGGATGTACATAGTTAAATAAGCACGTAGTTAGATGGTATGTAATTGGTAGTCAACCTTTAAAAATGATATATACCGGGTGCGTCTCAAAAGTGCCTCACCCCTATAGCTTTTTAATTTTTTTCAGATAAAACAACGAGATTCGGTATGTTAGTATATGACATAAATTATGATTGATTGACATATTTAATTGTTTTCGGTCACTTCCGGTCTAACTTTGAAATGACTACAACTTTTGATTTTTAAATGGCACCTTCGGTATTTTTTTACTTTATTCGATAGAAAATCACACTCTGAATAGAAAGATATATTATATGTCAACTCTTGACATTTTCGCATATGGTTTATTTGAAATTATAACATGCGGGTCATAACGATAATTTGACTCGAAATACCAAGTGTGTGGTATTAAATTATTCGTAAAAAATACTTCTTCCAAATATGCTAATGAGCCATCCTCGTTCCATTTGAAAAAAATGAGATATGATTAAAAATACGATTTGGGCATCTTTTAACCGGCCAGGGCAAGACACTAAAAACATTAAACGATCAAATTTATTTTTCCAAGAGTCCTTGATTAAAAATTAGTGTTTTTAACATAGCCATGGCACTTTAGATTGAAATTTAAAGTCCAATTTGTTTTTAATCGAATATGTCAAAAGTTTACATATGATATGCCATTCAATTCAGAGTGATATTTTCTATCGAATAAAGTAAAAAAAATATCGAGGGTATTTAAAAATTAAAAGTTCTAGTCATTTCCGGTGAAACAGGAAGTGACCGAAAACAATTGTATATGTCAATCAATTCTAATTTATGTCATATACTAACATACCAAACCTCATTTTTTTTATCTGAAAAAATAAAAAAGTTATAGGGGTGAACCACTTTTGAGACGCACCCGGTATACATATGCTATAACCTAAATGTCACCCTTATGTACCCGTAATATTATATACTTCCTTACTATACTAACAAAAATATAACTGTAAATATATTTTTTTTTCTGGTGGACGTATTTTATATTAAATATTATAATAACACTGACGTTAAAATTACCAGAAATTCAGCAATTTGAATATACAGGGTCCGGCAATAGTGTGTCGGGCATCTGTAATTCCTATAATAAAAAACTTAGGAATTTTGTTTAAGTGCATACTTAAAGCACAAATTACCTATAACAGATGCGAAAGAACACCGAATTACGCGTTCAGGTTTCTGTGACCTTCAGAAAGAGTTCATAGACAATCCGCATCAATGTATAGTTTGGGTTATTATTTGTTTGGGTGAAAATAATCTGCACCAATATGTTATCGAGGCATACAAAAAGGTCCACAGACTTCGAGACATACGAAAAATCACGTCCATTTAGCGTGTGTCGCATATTTTTACATCTTAAAAATTAGTTTTTATAGCTATAGCAACTGCAGCGACTAAGAAAAACGCTGTGTGATTTTCATAGAAAATAAGGGCACCTGTAATTCATTTGAGAATGTTATAAATCGCTAAAAGAGGTTTCAAATCTCTTGGATTTCTATTAATATTAAATAAATTTTATTAAAAATTGAACTAAAATTGTTAGTATCATTAAAAACAATTCAAATTCAAAAATTGTATCAGTCAAATTCCCTC